CTCCCCTTTCCGCTGGGATTGGGAAAGTGCTGCACACGGGAGCTGCTCATGCCAGCTGACTCAGGGTCCCGTGTCCTGACCGGGACTTTTGACCTCGGAGCTGTGCCAGGTCTGGTGGCACCTGGCACGGCCCCTCTGGGGTGCAGGATGGTCCTCAGCCCTCCCTGCCTTGGGCCCTGGTGGCTTTTGGGGACACCTTTTCTCCTGCCACAGCTCCTGCCAGCTCCAGCATCCAGGCTTTGGGTGCTGGACTGGGACTTTTGGGACTTTCCTGGGACTTTTGGGCCCTTCCTGGGATGTTGGGGACTTTCCTGGGATGTTGAGGACCTTGCTGGGGTGTTGGGGACCTTGCTGGGGTGTTGGGGACCTTGCTGGGATGTTGGGGACAGTGCGGCTCCTGGGAATGGAAGGGGCCAGACATCTCCTCCCGCTGTAGTGTCACGAGGCCGATCCCGTGGAACATCCAATGGATCAGGAGATGTTTGATGGAGCTGGAGGGCTCCTGCACAGCTGCATGAGCTGGCACTGCCCCGAGGGAGGTCTGGTCAGGCCAAGGTCATCTTCACAGTGTGGTGAACAGGACGTGCAGGGCAGGAGCTGGGAGTGCAGGGGGAAAAGGGGATGTGCCAGAGTGGAGGGTCCCCCTCCAGAGGGGGCTGCTTGGGGTGGAGGTGACCCCGAGGCTGGGGTCACCATTACCAGGGGAGAGTGACCACCACGAGGGGACAGCGGCCACAATCCAGGAATGGTGGCCATCCCTGGAGGCAGATGGTTGTCACTGATAGAGAGTGACTGTCACTAAAGGAGGGTGGCCAGCCCCACTGCAGGATGGCCATGGCCATGGAAGGTGACATCACCCCCAGTCCCCCCCCCGGCACAGGTCTGGTGACCCCCATGCCCACCCACCCTGGGTGCCACCACCCAGCCAAAGCCCCTTTGGGTGCCTGCTGTCCTGGCTGGTGGCCCTGGTGGCTTTGGGGGTCACACGGGGCTGGGGGAGCAGGGGAAGAGCTGGAGCAGTGTGTCAGTGACACGTGAGGACGCTAAAATTAGGCGGCTCCAGCTAATCTAATTTAATCTCCCCTTTTCCGCCCGTTCCCTGGGGATTAGCCCCAGCAGTGGGGTGGGCAGCCAGGCTGTGGGGCAGCCCAGCCTGGGCACACCCGGGGGAACCCCCCAGCTCTCTTGGGGTGAGGTGTGTGGGGGACAGGGGTTTGGGATGGGCCGGGAACGGCACCAGCACCATGAGATCTGCGGAGGGATGGATGAAGGATGGATCCCAAAGCCAACCCTCACCTCCCTCTGCCTTCATGGGGCAGCTGGGGCTGGGTGAGCCCCGTCCCTGCTGGAGAGGCTGGGGAGAGGCTGGGGAGAGGCTGGGGAGAGGCTCAGCCCGGGGTCACGCGCTCGCTCGTCCTGTGGCTGCCCAAGGAAGGGAGAAAAGTTCTCCGACCGGTTTTGCGCTGCCGGCCCCGTGCAGGGCCGGGGCCAGCCCAGCTCCGGAGGTTTCCGGTGCGTTGGGTGACAGGGCAAAGTCACCAGCTGGTCACCGGTGTCACAGCGGGTTTGTGGGGCCGTGGGCGCCCCTGCAGCCAATGAAACCTCGTTGGGAAGTATGTGGAGCAGCGCTGCAGCCGTGGTGAATCACGAGGCAGGTGATGCCAGATGAGCTCACGCCTCTCCTGGAGCAGCTCCAGGCCCAGCCCAGCTGCCCCGTGCTGGTTCCCCGTTCCTCTGGAGCCACCCGTGCCTCAGTTTCCCCAGCATGAACGGGGGTTATGGGCTCCCAAGGGTGTCCTGGGGGTCCCCAGGAGCAGCAGCACTCGGTGGGATGGGGGCTTGCCTGGTCCCAGGGCTCCAGGCTGCTCCGGCCCTGCTCTGGCCGCTGGGCACGGCTCTTCCTCCCGCTCCACGCTGTTATTACTGCACCACTCGTCCTTGAGGAATCACATTCGAGAAATTAGAGCCGGTTCCAGCTCCAATCCCTGCAATCAGCAGCTTCCTTTACCCCAGGAACGCGGCGTTAAATGCCGATGGATTATTACGAGCCCATGTGGAGCTGGGGTGCCTCGAAAGGATTCCCATTGGGAGCTTTATTCCATGAAAGGAATTCCAAAACCAACTGAAAAACCTCAAATTAAAAAAAAAAAAAAAAATTACTTTATTTAGAGAAGCTGGTTGAGCAGAGCCCAGCTCCTCCTGTCCTTCCTTGACTAGGGCGTTATCTGGGGAATCAATGGGGTGTTGGGGACTATTTTCCCTGAATAAACTGATTTTACGGGACAGAAGGATGAGACAGGTCCCTCATTTTGCACAGACAGTCCCTCCCTTCATCCAGCCAGCCTGGCAGCAGATGGGGAAGGCGGACAGATGTGTCCAGCTATTTTTAGGCTCAAACGCTGCTTTAATTTCAACATGACCACGGAGAATTTGCCTTTTCAGGGGTAAAAAAAAAAAAAAAAAAAAGCTGGATCAGAGGGTGAATTGAAATGTAGGGCCAGCGACAGAGATTAATGGAATATCCTGGGTTGGAAGAGATCCACAAGGATCATTGAGTCCAAATACTGAAATGCATCAGGTCACGATCTGGGGGTTGAGCTGACAGATTCGTGGTGGGTCTGGCAGGACTGGATCCTGCAGGAAAAGGTGTCTGGTGGCAGCGTTGCCTCGTCCCTGGCTCGGGTTGCTTCTCCCCCTCTTTCCTTTGAAAAAAGGAGTTACAATTCCCTGAGCAGAAACACCAAAACGATGTAAATGGCCGCGTGGAGAGGGCTCCGGAGAGGGGGAAGAGCCGGAGCTGCTCGGGCCGGGTTGGGAAAGCGGCGGGAGCGGGCAGACGGGTTGGGTAACTCCTGCCCCAGGGCTGCCGGGACCGGCTCTGCCGGCAGCGGCGAGCGGAGCCGCTCCGGAGGGCCAGGACGTGCCGCGGCCCTCGTAGGGCTCCGGGCCACCGACGCCCGGCTGCGGCCGGGGAATCCCGGATGGGGCAGGGATGGGGCAGGGATGGAGCTGGGATGGAGCTGGGATGGAGCCGGGGATGGAGCTGGGATGGAGCCGGAGTGGAGCAGGGATGGAGCTGAGATGGAGCTGGGATGGAGCTGGGATGGAGCTGGGATGGAGCAGGGATGGAGCAGGGATGGGGCAGGGATGGAGCAGGGATGGAGCCGGGGATGGTGCAGGGATAGAGCAGGGAAGGAGCTGGGATGGAGCTGGGATGGAGCAGGGATGGAGCAGGGATGGAGCAGGGATGGAGCCGGGATGGAGCCGGGATGGTGCAGGGATGGAGCAGGGATAGAGGAAGGATGGAGCAGGGATGGAGCCGGGGATGGAGCTGGGATGGAGCTGGGATGGAGCTGGGATGGAGCTGGGATGGAGCAGGGATGGAGCTGGGATGGAGCTGGGATGGAGCTGGGATGGAGCAGGAATGGAGCTGGGATGGAGCAGGAATAGAACAGGGATGGAGCAGGGATGGTGCAGGGATGGAGCAGGGATGGAGCAGGGATGGAGCAGGGATAGAGCAGGGATGGAGCAGGGATGGAGCCGGGGATGGTGCAGGCAGAGCCCAGCTGCAGGGCCCTCCCGAGCGGCGCTTCCCAAGGTTTTGGGGAGCAGGGGCACCCCCGCCGTCCGTGGCCGCGCACGGGGAGCGGGACACGCGGGCGGAGCGGCAGCGCCACGGGCCGCGCATGATGGATGCGACCTGACGGGTGCACAGGGCCGAGCACGTTCACACGCATGTGACAGGGACAGGGACAGCGCCGGGCACACCGGGCGGGGCGGCGGCGGCGGGCACGGGCTGCGGGGACGGACACGGACACACGGACACAGCCACGGACACACGGACACAGCCACGGACGCACACACGGACTGCGGGCATGGACAGACACACGGACATGCACACAGGCTGCAGCACACGTGTGATACACCCCGAGCCCCCCATTAGACCCCACTGGACACGCTCACTGCACCAGGGCACCAGCCACGCACCCCGCCCCGCCCCGTGCAGCTCCCCAGTACAAACCAGTGCCCCCCAGTGCCCTCCCAGTTCACCCTTCCACTGCACCCACACCGCAATGCACCGCCCAGTGCACCGCCCAATGCACCGCCCAGCGCACTCCCAATGCACTCCCAGTGCATTCCCACTGCACTCCCAGTGCACTCCCAATGCACTCCCAGTGCACTCCCAGTGCATTCCCAGTGCATTCCCAGTGCATTCCCAGTGCACTCCCAGTGCATTCCCAGTGCACTCCCAGTGCACTCCCAGTCCATTCCCAGTGCATTCCCTGCCCCTTCTGTACCCACCCCAATGCACCCCTCCAGTCCACTCCCAGTGTCCCCCCAGTATCACATCAGTGTGCCCCACCAGTGTCCCCCCAGTATCATCCCAATGTCGCTCCCACTGTCACCCCAATGCACCCCCAGTGTCCCCCCCGGTGTCCCCCCAGTATCACCCCATTGTGCCCCCATTATCACCCCATTGTCTCCCCCAGTGTCCCACCACTATTACCCTAATGTCCCCCCAGTATCACAACAATGTCCCCCCACTGATCCCCCGGTGTCCCCCCATTATTCCCCCATTCCCCCCCCCCGGTGTCCTCCCAGTGCCCTTCCCCAGTATCACCCCACTGCACCCCCGGTGTCCCCCCATTATCCCCCCATTATGCCCCCATGGTCCCCCCATTGTCCCCCCGGGGGACAATGCCACTGCGCCCTCGGTGTCCCTCCAGTATCACCCCATTATCCCCCCCCAGTGTCCCCTCCGGTGTCCCCCCATTGATCCCCCATTGTCTCCCCATTGTCCCCCCATTGATCCCCCATTGTCCCCCCGGTGCCCCCTCACCCCCCCGCGCCGGTGCCAGGCCCCGCCCCCCGCGCGCGCCGGGCACACACCCTCGCCTTTGGGCCAATGGGGGCGCGGCGGCGCGGCCACGTCACGGGCGCGGGGGAAGCTCCTCAATGAGCGCGATTGGCGCGGGGAGCGCGCGGCGCTGCCGGGGCCGCTCCGCTCCGACCGCTCCGAGCCGAGCCGAGCCGAGCCGAGCCGAGCCGAGCCGAGCCGAGCCGAGCCGAGCCGTGCCGTGCCGAGCCGTGCCGCTCCCGCCATGATCGCATCGCACCTCCTCGCTTACTTCTTCACCGAGCTCAACCATGACCAGGCGCAGAAGGTGAGGGGGGTCCCGTGGGGAGCGGGAAGAGTGGAGAGGGGAGAGGTGAAAAGGGGAAAGTGAGGAGGAAAAAGGGAGGAAAAAAAAAGAGGGGAAGAGGACAAAATGGGGGGAGAGAAAAAGGGAAGAAAAAGAGAGGAGGGGTAAAAGTAAAAAAAAAAAAAAAGAGGGGTAAAAGTAAAAACAAAAAAAAAAAAAGGAGGGAAAAGAAGGGGAGAGTGAAGAGAAAGAAGAGAGAAAGAAAAGGGAAGGAAAGTGAAAAGGGGAATAAGTGGGGAAGGAAGGAGGATGAGGAAAAAAAGTTAAAAAAATTAGTAAAAGGAAGGAAAAAAAAAGAAAAAAGCAGAAAAGGAATAAAGGAGAGGAAAGGAGTAGATAGAGCAAAAAGAAAGGGGGAAAGTGGAAAAAAAGAAGGGAAGGCGAAATGGAAAAAAAAAAACCAACAACAAAAAAAGGAGAAGAAAACCGAAAAAACTTTTCAAAAGGGAAGAGGAGGCGAGATAAGCGGGCGGCGGAGGGGAAGCGGGGCCGGGCGGGCGGAGGCCCCGGCGCTGCCCGGCCGGGGCCGCGTGCGGTACGTGCCGGGGACCCCGCGTGGCCGGGCGGCGAGGGGGAGGAGGAGGAGGAACGGGAGGAAGGGGAGGAACGGGGGGGTCTCCGCGCCCGTCCCTGCCCGCCGCAGCCGGGACCCCGCGGCCGCCCCGCGCTCCACGTGTCCCCGTTCCCGCCGAGCATCCCCGGCAGCGGCTCCTCCGCTCCCCGCCGGGCCGGGGCACCGGGGCACACACCGGGCCGGGGCACACATCGAGCCGGGCACACACCGGGCCGGGCACACACCGAGCCGGGCACACACCGGGCCGGGGCACACATCGAGCCGGGCACACACCGAGCCGGGGCACACACCGAGCCGGGGCACACACCGAGCCGGGTACACACCGGGCCGGGGCACCGGGGCACACACCGGGCCGGGGCACCGAGCCGGGCACACACCGAGCCGGGCACACACCGGGGCACCGAGCCGGGACATGCACCGAGCCGGGGCACCGAGCCCCGCGAGCAGCGGGGTCAGCCCGGGCCACCAGCCCGGAGGTGGCACTTGTCCCTCGGGTCCCCTTCCCCACGCGGTGTCCCCAAGGCGCACGTGTGCCCCCGTCCCCGCACTGACAGGGGTGGAAAACGCCCTTTCGTGTCCCGTTCCTTTCGTTTTGGGGCTTCTGGATCCTGGATTTGGGGGTGCTGGATCCTTGCTCTGGGGTTCTGGATTTGGGGGTTCTGGATCCCGGATTTGGGGTGCTGGATCCTTGCTCTGGGGTCCGGAGCTCCCCGAGCCCGTTCCCACAGTGGCAGCCCTTGGGATGTTGTTGGTCACCCCCCGTCCCGGAGCTCAGGCACAGGAAAAGCTCGGGTGTTCCTGCTCTCCATGGCCCCGGCCTTTGTCTGGCCAGGACAGCGCTTAGGCCGGGCTTAATAAATTATTCCCGGAGGAGAAATGCTGGGTGGGAGGCTCAGGCCGCTCCTGCAGCGCTCTGCTGGCATCTGGGTATAGGGCAGAGAGGAGCTGCCTGTGATTCCCCGCTCTGGGATTTGCTGGTCCGAGCGTGTGAGGCGGTCGGGATTTGCAAAAATCGCCGTAAAAAAAAAAAAAAAACCGAGGGAAATGCTTGGAGAGACAGACCCGGGATAACCCTGGAGATGCTGCTCGCGGGGAAGTGAAACTTGCCACGTTGGCCCTTCAGCGGGGTGAGATCGGAAGGAAACCGAGGCAGAACTTTTAAAAAGAAAAAGAAAAAAGCCAAAAAAAAAAAAAAACCAAACCCAAAAAACAAAAAACAAAACGAACAAAAAAAAAAAAAACAACCAAAAAAAAAAAACCCCACCAAAAAAACCAAACCAAACCAAAAAAAAAACAACCCCAAAAAAGCCCAAAAAACCCCCAAACAAACAAACAAACAAAAAAATCACCCCAAAGCAAAAACAAAAAACCGAAAAAAAAAAAACCCACAAAAAAAAAAAAAACCAACCAGACCCAACCCCAAGCTAAACAAAGTGCAGGGAAAAGTTCCCAGGGCAAAGCGATCCGCAAGGAAATACGGGCTCGGCTTCTCCCTGCTCTCGCCGCTGGCCCCGGGGTTGTGCAACAGCCACATCCAGGGTAGGGACGGGGTTGTGTTGTGTAACCCTGGCAGAAATAGGCCAGCGGCGCAGCTCACGCCTTCCTTATCGGGAATGGCTGGGAATGGTGCAGGGGCAAAGCCGGGATGGGGAATTCTCCTTCCCTACCCCCTGCGAGAAGCCTCAGGAACCGGCTCCGCGCCCCTCGTGCCTCCCAAACCCCCGTTAAAAAAGGTTGAGATGGGAGGGAGGGAGAGAAAAAAAATATCCGTGAGCTGGGGATGCAGTGGGACACGGCACTGCCCTCCTGGCCGCCTCCACAACTGGATTTTCTGGGATATTTTTAAACAAATTCCCGTGAATCCTCCCGTGAGGCGAAGCTGGGGGAGAGGGGGGAGAAGCCAGCTGTCTGCCCTGGCTGCTTCCACCGGGGCTGGAGAAATCACTCCTGCCTTATAGAGAGCTCCCCAGGCAAAGGGAGAAGCCAGGGAGTCCCCAGCACAGGGGGTGAAATCCTTGGAAAGCTGCAATTTGGTTGGTTGGTCTTCTTATCAACCCCCTGTATCTGGGACAAAAGACTGTAGGTGGTAGCCTGGGATGTGTTTTCCCTTTGGGTCAGGGAGAAAAGGAGCTCAGCTGGGGTAGAAAAGTGCCTTTTCCAATGGCTGTGGTTTGTGTCCACCTCAAGGCCTTGAAAATAGCCTCAAAAATGGGATTTTTTTTCCCCCATTCTTGCCACGGAGCAGCTTTACCTGCTCTGTCACCTGTCTGGGGGCATATTCCCTCCCTCCCCAGCTCCTGCCCTTTTCCTGCCTGCAAAGTGAGTTGTCCAGACTTATCTAAGCCCCAAGGGATTGTGCAAACTTTAATTAACCTCGGCAGCGTCCTTTGAGATCCCAGCTTGAAAGTTTGCCGCCGCTGCCCTGGGATGTGCCAGCTCACCCCGGCCTTCCTCATCCTCATCCTCGTCCTCATCCTCATCCTCGTCACTGGGAGGGGGGGGCTGAGCCTCTCCTCTCCCCCGTCCCTCCTTCAAAAGGAGAAAAAATGGGGATGGAATTGATTTTCCTGCATTTGGAAAGCAGGGGCAGGTTTTTAGTTAGTTTTTTAGGTGGTTTTTTTTTTAATTTATTTTTTTTTAATTTTTTTTTTTTTAATTTATTATTCCTTTGCCCAGGGATTAGTTTTACCCAGCTGATTCCTCCCTGCCGGCTGCCTCTGTGGGTGTGGGAGGGGCACCTTTGGCAAATTCCTGGAAAACCAACCCAGCATCTTCCCCCGAGGCTGCCCAGGCCGGGGGCAGGAGCCAGGCCAGGCCAGCTCGTCCCACCTTGGGGGAGCCACCCTGGGTCTCCTTCCCCACCAGAGCTCCCCAGCCTCAGCTTCCCCTGCACAGGGGACGCTCCCAGCATCCCAGGGGGGCCCTGGGGCCAGCGAGGCATCCCAAGGACCTTGTGGGTTTAGCAAGGACCATGAGGGGCAGGGGCGGCAGCAGCTGGATGCCTCCAGCTGCAGAACTGTGGGGCAGAGCGTTCTCCTGGCTGAACTGGGTTTCACTGGGGTAGTTCCAGCTGCAGAACAGAGGGCAGAGCGTTTTCCCAGCTAAACTGGGTTTTACTGGGGTAGTTGGATGTCTCCAGCTGCAGAACTGTGGGGCAGAGCATCCCCCTGGCTGAGCTGGGTTTTACTAGGGTGGTTCCAGCCGCAGAACAGAGGGCAGAGCATCCCCCTGGCTGAGCTGGGTTTCACTGGGGCTCTGGGGCAGCAGGGTCACCTGAGGATGGGCTGGTGGATGCTCCCTGGTGTCACTTCCTCACCATCAGCACCCGGCTCCACCTCCGGCCTGGATCCAGCTGCTGGCCCGGGGCTGAGGATGAGGAGGAACCGGCCGAGCAGGAAACATCTGACTCACCCAGTGAGGATGACTCCGGGCGTGTGTCATCCCAGGCAGCAGCGAGGGAGGCAGGCAGGGAGGAGGGCACACACGTGGGCTCGGAGCTGTCCTGGAAGGCCGTGGGTGCCAGCAGGGTGGGGGCAGCCCAGCATCACCCCTGTGTCACCGGGGCAAGGGGACGAGCCGGTTCCCTGCCCTGAGTCACCCCGAGGGGTGGGAAATGGGGACAGGCATGGGCAGCACGGCAGGGACTGGGCATGTGGAGCAGGGGGTGAATCCCCCAGGCCTTCCCCTGCTCCCTCTGCCCGGCTTTCCCCAAATCCATCACGTCCCACAGGGATTTTGGGGTGGTGGAGGGGAGCATCCCTCAGACTTGAGGGATTCTCGCAGAACAGCACGCTCCAAGTTAAAGGCCGGCATGGGGAGGGAGGTCATTTAAAGGAAATATAATTCCCAGCACAAATTTCCCTGGAGAGAGGGGTGACAGCACATGCTGTGGGTTTGGGGGTGTTGCAGCATTCCCCAGATTTGAGCACTGCTCTGTCATCTTGCAGTCAACAAATGTTTGGCTCGGTTGCCAAAAAGGTAAAGAATCTGTCCCAGGAAGCAGCCACCCTCTCCCAGTGCTCTGCTTTTGCTCCAAAATCTGCAGGAATCAGGCACATCCAGCTGAGCACTGCATGGGGAGATGCTGAGGGATGGGGAGCACGTGCTCCTGCCCAGCTTCCTGGCAGCCACGTGGCTCTGGGACAGGGCTCAGATCAAAACGAAAACAAAAGGCAGGCAGCTTCCTCTTCCCAGAACCGGGGTCAGTAGTGGGAAAGATGTTTTGGGACGCACAGGAACAAACCTCCCTTCCCCTTCCCCTTCCCGCTGGTGCCAGGAGGGCTGTGCCCCTCAGCAGCCCAGCCCCACGTGCCCGGGAGGGGAGGCTGGCAACCCAGGCTGTTTCTCTGGGGTGCTGTGAGCTCGGCTTGGCTCAGCCCGGTGCCCCAGCAGCAGGGTTTGGGCAGGCTGAGGTTTCCCAGCGGTGCAGCCGCGACCCTGGGCTCTGCTCCAGCATCCGGCGTGGCAATGAGCTGAACCTTGGAGACAGCCTTGAGCCAGGAGATGGGGATTTGCTGGGGTTCGCTTCAAAAACGTGGCATTGAGCTCATTACACCCACAGCTGCTCCGTGATCCGCAGCTCTAACGCGGCGTCCTGGGCTGGGGCATTCCTGGCGCTTCCTTCCTTCCTAAATTCCTAAATTCCTAAATTCCTAAATCCCTCCCTCCCTCCCTCTTCAGTTTGTTTGGATTTCCTCGAGGAAACGCTGCTGTTTAGGCTGGAAGCTTTCCAGAAACTCAATTGCCCCCTTCAGGATCCCAACCTAGTGGCTTTGTTTGTTTGGAATTGGCAACCTGACCTAAACTATTCCCTGCACTTCAGAAGCCTTTAAGCAACTGGGAAGGTGTTTTGTGCTGAGAGATGCTCAGGCTCTGGCACTGCAGGCTGAATTCCCCATTTTATCCCATCTTTGTAGCAATTTGAGGGGCTCTCCTGGGATAACCAAGCATGCCACAGGGAGTTCTGGGGAGGCCAGTGGCCGTGGACAATCCTTGGTGGGGCCAGGGTGGATTCAGCGGGGAAGGAGCCCTGCTGTATGCCCTGACCTGCTTTAGCTGCCAAGTGGGGTGAGATCCACCTTGGGAGAAGATGATCCAGGTTTTAAGGGCTTTGGAGATTAGGGGGAGGTGGCCCTGCTGCTCAGGCTGGGGTTATTCTGGTGTGGAGGACATGGGGGACGTGCTGAGCAGGGCCTGCCCTGGGGGAAGCGGCTGAAGCCCAGGGGGGTTCCCTGCACTGGGAATTTTGGGCAGGGGCCTTCCCTGCTCTTCAAGCCAGCTTCCCTGGGGTGAGCACTGTGGGCTCGGGGTGGATGGCGTGGGCTGAGGACCCTGGCACAGCTCCAGGGCAGGTTCCCCACCCTGGGGCTGGCATGGAGCAGAGCCCCGGAGCCACCTCCTGAGCAGTAACTGGAGCTTACTGGTGCCAGTGAGCAGAGCCTCGGCACTCGGGAGGGAATTTCCAGCAGCTGAAAGCAAACAGGAGGGCAGGGAGGAGAGGGTTTGACTTCCTGCTGGATAAGGGGAGGCTGGTAAACACCTGGTGCCAGGAAATCTCCAGGTTTCCTTCTCCTTGGCCTTTCCCTCGTGTTCAGCTCCTGGTTTTGGGAAGGAGCTGGGAGCAGCAGGAGAAGGGAGAGGAGGTTTTACTCAGAGCATCAGGGGATGCAGCATCACTCCTGGAATGTGCTGGGCTGGGCTTTCCTCCATCCCCTGACCTCCCCAGGGGGATCTCAGCTCCCAAATTTCCAACAGAACCCAGGGTGGGGGAACAAAGGATGTGCTGGAGCACCCTGAGCCCGAAGCACAGGCAGGCAAAGCCGCAGCAGGGCTGTTGTGTCCAGCCCAGGGTGGGAGGGCACGTCCCTGAGCCAGGTCAGCCTGGCCCTGGTGCAATTATTTGCCCACAAAATGCCCATTTCCTGCAGCTCAGCCCCATAAAGCGCAGCCCGGGCCCGGTTCCGGTGACCCGGCCTTACGTGCCTGCACACAGGTGAGCACGCGGGGTGGAGCTTTCCTCCTTGACTTCTCAGGGCTTGCAGCTGCCCTTTAATTAGTGCTGAGTGGAGCTAATTGGAGCAGGGCACGGTTTGGGAGCGGGCAGTGTCTGCCTGCCCTGCTCCCTGCTCCGGCCAGGCTGCCCAGTGCTGCTGCTGCTGCCTGGGGAGGAGCCTTTCCACACCTTCCCAGGCAGGACAGGAGGCTTTGATGCTGTTTTTAGAAGCATTCTGCACACCATCAGCTCAAGGGGAGAGCAGTTTCCAGGAACGGGGAGGTGGGGTGGGTTTCTTCCCTCTCCGGCCACGCTCTTGTGTCATCCCAGCCCGGCCTGTGTCACTGCAGCTGCCACCTCTGTCACTGCAGCGGGGTTTGCTCCAGGCTCTGGGGTGGCTCTGGGCTCCTGGGGTGATCTCAGCAGTGCAGAAATGACAGGGCACTGCATTCCTGCCCAGCAAACCCGTGCAGGAGAGGCCCTGGGGGTCAAGGTCAAGGTGTGCTGGTGCCGTGCACTGGGAAGGGCTTTGCACCTGGAGAACCTCCTGAGTCACCCCTGAGCTGGGGCTCCTGTTTGGGTGCCCCTGTTTGGGTGTCTGCAGCTGCCTGAGCGGGCAGGAGCAGCTGTGGGTCAGCACTCCCAGCTGGCAGAGCCTGGGCAGGGATGAGGGTGGCCTTGGGAAGGGGCTGGAGCAGGGCTGGGTGGTGCCTGCCATGAGCAATCCAGCCAAGCTGCTGTGCCCTGCACTTGGGGATGGCTCAGGGCCTGCCCCAGCTCCTTGTGTGCACCCCAGCAGCCTCAGGAGGGGCTGGGCACTGTCCTGAGCTGTCCTGAGCTGTCCTTGCCCCTGTGCCCTGCCCTGTCTTGACTCCTGGGCTTTGTGTCCCTGCAGGTGGACAAGTACCTGTACCACATTCAGCTCTCCAGCTCCTTGTGTCCACTCAGGAGGGGCTGGACACTGTCCTGAGCTGTCCTGAGCTGCCCTGTCCCCTGTCCCCAGCCTGACCCCATGTCCTTGTGCCCCTGCAGGTGGACAAGTACCTGTACCACATGCGGCTCTCGGATGAGACCCTGCAGGAGGTGTCCCAGCGCTTTGAGAAGGAGATGGAGAAGGGGCTGGGGGCAGACACCAACCCCACGGCCTCCGTGAAGATGCTGCCCACCTTTGTGAGGTCCACCCCGGATGGGACAGGTACTGCGAGGCCAGAGGGAGGGCTGGGGACACCGCGGCAGGGGTGGCACTGCCATAGCAGGGGTGGCACCGCCACCAGAGCCACCTTCCCTGCTGGGGCTGAGCGTGGGGACAGGCCTGGCTCCCTGCTCCGCGCTGGGGCTGGAGGGGATCCCAGTTCCTGCTGGCAGCAGGGAGCAGAGAGGGAGCAGGAGGGAGGGAAGCCGCCCTGGCGTGCCCTTGCTGGCAGGACAGGGACAGTCACGGGTCCGGCTCATCAGATTTCATGGGCAGCAGTGCCAGCACTGTCTGAGTGCCACAGGGCCCTGGGCACCGCAGGGCCCTCACAATGTGGCCTTTCTGCCTCTCCCGAGCTGCCCAGGCTGCGCTCCAGCCGGGCACATCCTCCTCCCCTGCTCCCTCCTGGGATGGTGTTTGCAGGGCTCTGAGGATGAGGGAAGAGATGACAATGTTGACTCCATGTTTCAGAAGGCTTGATTTATTATTTTAACATATAACCATTATTAATATTTTACAATCATTTCATAATAGTACAATATTAATAATATTTTATAAATATTATTGTAAATAATTATACACTACAAATAATTTTATAATATTGTGATATTTTATATTAATAATATTTTATAGAAAACATTATTATTTTATAATTATATATTGTCTGAATATACAATTATATATGATATATAATTTATTATTTTAATATATATAATTAATATATAATATATATTGAAACTATACTGAAAGAAGAAAGGATTTAATCAGAAGGCTGGCTAAGAATAGAATAGAAGAATGATAACAAAGGTTTGTGACTGACTGAGACAGTCAGGACAGCTGGGCTGTGATTGGCCATTAATTAGAAACAACCACATGAGGCCAATCCCAGATGCACCTGTTGCATTCCACAGCAGCAGATAACCATAGTTTACATTCTGTTCCTGAGGCCTCTCAGCTTCTCAGGAGAAAAAAATCCTAAGGAAAGGATTTTTCAGAAAATATCATGGCTACACCCTGGGTAGGGTGACCTGACCCAGCTGTGCCAGGCCTGGGCTGCCCTTTCCATGAAGGAATTTCCCCAACAATTTAAATGTTGTTTGTAATTCAAACTTCCAGTGTGAAGCCATTGCTCTGTCCCACTACAGCCCTGCTAAAAGCGTCTCCACTTCCCTCTGAGCCCCTCTAATCCTCAGAGCATCCCCTGATCCTGGCCCCCAGCTGCACCTACACCCCAAAGCTGGGCCTGGCTGCCTGCCCTGGCATTGAGATTCCCATCTATTTAAATGTTGGAGGATATTTTTAATTACAGGCACGGCCAGGAGCCGCCCCTGGGCACAGGAACTGGTGCAGCCAAAGGTGCTGGGTGCAGGTGGAGTGTGTGTCAGCACTTCCAGCAGCCTGGCCTGCCTTGGGAGAGGGAGCAGCCCCTGCCCATGCCCTTACAGGACAGATCCTTGGCTCCCTTCCCTGTTTCCAGCCTCTCCAGTGCCCCAGCTGGCATTTCTCACCCGGGGCAGGGGGGAGAGAGGAGCAGCAGCATGGAAAATGTCACATGAGAGGGATGCTGGGGCAGTCACGGCCCTGCAGCTGCCCAGGGGGCTGGAAAATGAGGGAGTTTAGAGCAAATCCCAGGGAAATGGGAGCTGGGGTTCAGCCCAGCCCTGAGTGGCATCAGTGGCATCCCCTTGGGTTTTGGGGAGGGGGAAATCGGGGCTGGGGGCTTGGTGCCAGATCCCTGGGGAGGATCTCAGTGCCCAGGGCTGTGTCCTTCCTCCTTCCCCCTTTTTAAAGCTCCTGGGCAAAGTCTGGCCTGGGCTGGGCACCCGTGCCAGGTGCCAGGGGCTGCTCCCAGTCCAAGGCTGGGTTATTGCTCTGCTCCTGCCCTGCTGTGCCCCAGGGCTCCCAGACATTCACCCGTGGGATGTCCCTGGGTGGGATTAGACCCCGATTAATGCCCAGCTCCAGGGGGATGAGAGGGGCTTATGGAAATACAAGGTCACACCTGCAGGCTAAGCCAAAGCCCAGCCCTGGCTCTCGGGGGCTTTGCCACTTCACTGTGGTGATAAGAGGGGGGAATTCTGCTTTGAAAGCAGAAGCTCTTCTAAAATCAACTTTCCTTGCTTTGCCTGGCTCTGGCACCCCCTGGAGCAGCTCCATGCCCTGCTGGCAGCAAGGGGATGGGGAGACAGGTCCCAAATAAGCTTCTCCTTGGGAATTGGGCTGGAAGCCTTGAGGGGGGATCCCTGAGGTGCTGGGACAGGATCCCCCACACCAGGAGCACACCAGGCTCCCCAGGCACTCATCCCTCACCCTTTGCCAAGAGCAAACAGCCCCTGGGCCCAGGGCTCTGTGTTTGCCCTGCCTGTTTGGCTTGTGGGCTCAGCACCAGGGCTGATACCTTATCACAGACCAGGCAGCCCAAACTGGGGGCAGTGCCCGCACCTGGCACCCACCACGTGCTCCAGGCATGGCTGGGAATGTTCCCAGGGAGCCTTCCCTGCCCTGTTCCTGCTGCAAAGCAATTCCACCCAGGAATTCACAGGAATTTCCCCCAAACTGCCCCTTTTTTTGGGATCCTGCTGGGTTACCCCCAAGGAGCCGAGACCTTGTGCCCCTCTTTGCTCCTCTTATCCCCAGTGGATTTATCAGCCCCCTGAGGTGTTCCATGTGCCCTGTTGGTATTGATCAGCCACTGGGGATGCCCATTCTGGGGCTGTTTCCAGCTGGGATCTCTGGGGATGCCCATTCTGGGGCTGTTTCCAGCTGGGGTCTCTGGGGATGCCCATTCTGGGGCTGTTTCCAGCTGGGGTCCCTGGGGATGCCCATTCTGGGGCTGTTTCCAGCTGGGGTCTCTGGGGATGCCCATTCTGGGGCTGTTTCCAGCTGGGGTCCCTGGGGATGCCCATTCTGGGGCTGTTTCCAGCTGGGGTCTCTGGGGATGCCCATTCTGGGGCTGTTTCCAGCTGGGGTCTCTGGGGTTGCCCACTCTGGGGCTGTTTCCAGCTGCAGTCCCCGGTGGGTCCGGGGCTGCCTCTGCAGCCCGGGGCTGTTTCCAGCCGCAGTGCCTGGAGGTGCTGCTGGTCTCTGCATACCAATGGCACCGATGGCCCGAGGGTTTTGTTCCCTTTGTGCCTCACAAAGCGGCCCCGGCAGCCAGCGCAGCACATTCGGGGCTCTGAGTGCTGAGAGAGGCTTTGCCCTGCCCCAGAACAGCCAGCTGGGCTCTTTTCCCTGCCCAGAACAGCCAGGGGACAGCCCTGGGGCTGCCCTTGGAGGAGCCTCGTTGGAGCCCTGGGTACTGGGAATTTCAGATTTTCTGTGCTGGCAGGAGAACTCTGCATTGAGCTGAGGCTGTGGGGAAAACTTCCAAAACTGAGTGATAGCACTGGGATTGTGACTGTGGGGTTTGGATAGAAGTGTGTGATACCACAAAAAAAAAACCTTTGAGTTTAAGATTTTAGAATATAGGAAAATCTATAAAGCAAGAGGGAGTTTTTAGGGTGGAGGCTGGTCCTTCTTTTTCACCTTCCTCCCCTTCTTCCTCCCCTTCTTCCTCCCCTTCTTCCTCCCCTTCTTCCTCCCCTTCCTTTTCCCCTTCTTCTTCTTCTTTTCCTTCTCCTTCACCTCCTTCTCCATGGGTTTGGGTGGTTTTGTGTAATTTTATAAAAAAGTCCCCGTTGCAGGCCACAGGTGGTTGGTTATTGGGTTAAAAGTAAAGATAATTTCAGTGTCATTTCTTAATTGGACAGTTTATCCTTAAAAGGCCTTGGAGAGGGAGAGACAGGGCTCCATTTTTAGTTTGTTGGAGTGAAGTGCTGCAGAGCTCAGGGTTTGTGAGAGTGTGACAGAGATAAGAGCCAATAAACATCTGAGTCCCAACCAGAAACTCTGCCTTGCACGTTTAACCCCGGCCCTGGCCAAAAAAGAAGCAAAGACTCCACAGCAGCTCTCCCTGGAGAAGGCAGCAGCGAGGCCCCAGAACTTTGGGATTTTCTCCCTCCCTGGTTTCCTGCACCCACGTTCCAGGAGCGTGTGGCATTCCTGGGGCAGGGAGGGAGCCTGGGCTGGGCTGAGGGGTTTTAGCACAGCAAAAACCAGGCTGGGGAGCTCCCGCAGCTGCCACCAGGGTTTAACCCCTTGGGAGGGAGGTTTAGGAGCCTCCAGGAGCATCAGTGGGGTCGGGAATGGCTCTGCTGCCTTCTCCTGATGATGGAGCCTGAGGCTGGAGCTCATCTTCCCTCAGATCCCTGCTGGTCTGGGATTTCTGGGTGGGATTCCTGCCCCAAAGCATCAGTGATGGTCAAAACATTGATCCTCTGTGCGGGCAGGGAATGCAGCGACTGCTCCAATAAAACACCGAAACAATAGAATAATGGATAAAATACTGAAATATACTCAAAGCCTGACCTTTCCCTGGTGCCTGGGAGGGGGTGGCGAGCTCAGGGCTCTGTGCACAGAGGAGTGAACGGGCTGTCCTTGTCCTGACCCACAGAGGACGGCGATTTCCTGGCCCTGGACCTGGGGGGCACCAACTTCCGAGTGCTGCGGGTGAAGGTGTCGGACAACGGGCTGCGCAAGGTGGAGATGGAGAACCAGATCTACGCCATCCCCGAGGAGCTGATGAGGGGCAGCGGGGTCCAGGTGGGCTCCTGGGGGGCTCCTGGGAATCCCTGGCAGCCAGCGCTGGGCACAGGGATGTGGCGTCCCCTCACAGTGGGGCCTTTTGTCACTCTCTGCCTTTTCTCCAGCTTTTTGACCACATTGCTGAGTGTTTGGCCAACTTCCTGGACAAGCTGCAAATCAAAGACAAGAAGCTCCCCCTGGGCTTCACCTTCTCCTTCCCATGTCACCAGACCAAGCTGGACGAGGTGGGTCCCTTTCTCCTGGGATCTGCAGGGGCTGGGGCTGATGCTGGCTCTGTCTGCCCTTATCCCCCCCAAGGGATCTGCAGGGGCTGGGGGTGATGCTGCCTCTCTGTCTCCCCTCTAGGAAGGGCAGGGGGTGGCTCCATGGTGCTCAGCAGCCCCAGCACATCCCCCTGTCCTCTCTCCCAGCACTCCATGGAGCCCCAGTGGCTCTGGGAGGGATTAATGCTCTCCTCCTGCAGGCCCGGGGATGAGGAAATGCAGAAATGCAGGAGGAAGGGTCCGTGCCCCCTGGCCCCGCTTGGGGTCACAGCGCTCAGTGCCTCAGTTTCCCCAGCTCTAAGGCTGGGCCGGTGTCTGCCTCCCTAAGGGGCTGTGGCCATAGGGTTGGAGATTTCAAATCTTTGAAATTGAGTTGGAATTGGTTGGAGATTTCAAATCTTTGAAACTGAGTTGGAATTGGTTGGAGATTTCAAACCTTTGAAACTGAGTTGGAATTGGTTGGAGATTTCAAATCTTTGAAACTGAGTTCTTTTCCTCCCCCCAGGGCTCAGCTCAGCCCCCGGCCAGGTGCCCCTGGCCACAGGGGACTGCGAGCCCCCCACCCCACAGGGCTCATTCCAAAGGCACAGAGAGCCCCCCACCCCACAGGGCTGGCTCAGGGGTTGTTCTGTAGGTACAGGGAACCCCTCACCCCACAGGGCTGGGTCAAGGAGCATTCCATAGGCACAGCCAGCCATCCACCCCTCAGGGATGGGTCAAGGAGCATTCCATAGGCACAGCCAGCCATCCACCCCTCAGGGATGGGTCAAGGAGCATTCCTTGGGCTCGTGAACAAGTTTTGCTGCAGGGCTCAATCAAAGCCGGTCATGGGAAGCATGTTCCTGCTGCTGGGGCAGCAACGAGCAGCTCACATGTTGTTTGGTGGCCATAAACTTTATCTGGCACGGAAGCTGCGGCTGATAGCGCAGCTGGTGAGCTGATAACGGGGGGCTCCCCCCTGCAGGGCCACATGTGCCCCGTGCTGGGAGCCAGGGGTCACCTCCAAGCCTCCTCTTGCTGTTCCCCTGCAGAGCATCCTCGTGACGTGGACCAAGGGGTTCAAGTGCAGCAGCGTGGAGGGCAGGGACGTGGTGTCCCTGCTGCGCAGGTCCATCAAGAAAAGAGGGGTAAGAGCCTGGGCTGGGGGCACACGGCTCCTGGCCGGGACACCTGGGCTCCCTGGAGGTGTTCTGGCCAGTTTTGTCTCTGTTGGGTCAGCCTCTCTCCTTTCCACCACGTCAGGACTTTGACATCGACATCGTGGCCGTGGTGAACGACACCGTGGGCACCATGATGACCTGTGGCTATGATGACCACAACTGTGAAGTTGGCCTCATTGTTGGTGAGCTGCAGCAAGGAGAAAGATGTTCTGGGGGTGTTTCCTGGGCTCCAGCAGAGCCAGAGGGAGATCCTGCTTCTTGCAGGCCTCAGGGTCTCTGGGGGGAAAAAGAGAGGGGGGATATCAGTGCTGGAAAAACCAGCATTGTCCAGAGTTTGTGTGCTTTGGTGTGTTGGGCTGTGGCCAAAGGGAAATTGGGAATAATGGGGATGGGGAATAATGGGAATGAGCAATAATGGGAATGGGGGATAATGGGAATAAGGAATAATGGGAATGAGCAATAATGGGAATGGGGGATAATGGAATAAGGAATAATGGGAAGGGGGGATAATGGGAATGGGGGATAATGGGAATAAGCAATAATGGGAGTGAGGAAAGGCAGTGTCCCCGCTCACCCTGTGCCCCTGCTTGGCCCAGGAACTGGAACCAACGCCTGCTACATGGAGGAGATGAGGCACATCGACCTGGTGGAGGGGGACGAGGGCAGGATGTGCATCAACATGGAGTGGGGAGCCTTTGGTGACGACGGGGTGCTCAACGACATCCGCACCGAGTTCGACCGCGAGATCGACATGGGCTCGCTCAACCCTGGCAAACAATTGTGAGCACATTCTTGGCTCGGGCTCGTGGTTTGCTCTGCATTGTCCATCCTCCCACAGTTACTGGGACCGGGGAGGTCAGCCCAGCTAACTGGGTCAGCGTGTCCTCTGTCACTGGTGCAGAGAGGGGCTGTGTCCCAGAGCGGGGCTGTGTCCCAGAGCAGGGCTGTGTCCCAAAGCAGGGCTGTACTAAGCCAGGACTGTCCTAAACCAGCCCAAACCATTCCCTGATTCCACCCCATGCTTCCCCACGGGCAGGTTTGAGAAGATGATCAGCGGGATGTACATGGGGGAGCTGGTCAGGCTCATCCTGGTGAAGATGGCCAAGGATGGGCTGCTCTTTGGGGGAAGGCTCACGCCAGATCTGCTCACCACGGGCCACTTTGAGACCAGATTTGTGTCTGCCATTGAGAAGTAAGTAGGACCCAGGGGTTTCCTGTGTCCCAGCCCGGGCTGCCACTCACAGAAGCTGCGCTGCCAGGTACGAACTCCCTTTCTGTGGTTCCAGGGAGAAGGAGGGGCTGCAGAAAGCCCACGAGATCCTGAGCAAGCTGGGGCTGGAGCCGTCGCACGAGGACTGCGTGGCCACGCTGCGCATCTGCCAGATCGTGTCCACGCGCTCGGCCGCGCTCTGCGGGGCCACGCTGGCCGCGGTGCTGCGCCGCATCCGCGACAACAAGGGCGGCGACAAGCTGCGCTCCACCGTGGGCGTGGATGGATCTGTGTACAAGAAACACCCTCAGTGAGTGTGGGACAGGGGCCTGGGGACAGGGACAGGGCCAGGCTGCGCTCCACCGTGGGCGTGGACGGATCTGTGTACAAGAAACACCCTCAGTGAGTGTGGGACAGGGACAGCAGGGGCTGGGGACAGGGACAGGGACAGGGACAGGGACAGCTGCGCTCCACCGTGGGCGTGGATGGATCTGTGTACAAGAAACACCCTCAGTGAGTGTGGGACAGGGCCTGGGGACAGGGACAGGGACAGGGACAGGCTGTGCTCCACTGTGGGCGTGGATGGATCTGTGTACAAGAAACACCCTCAGTGAGTGTGGGACAGGGGGCTGGGGACAGGGGCAGGGGGCTGGGGACAGGGACAGGGCCAGGCTGCACTCCACCGTGGGCGTGGATGGATCTGTGTACAAGAAACACCCTCAGTGAGTGTGGGACAGGGGCTGGGGACAGGGACAGGGATGGGGATGAGGACAGGGATCTGGGGACAGGGACAGGGCCATGGATTCTGGGGTGCTGGGCACAGGGACAGAGAGGGATCTCAGGGTGCTGGGGATAGGGACAGGGATCTGGGGACAGGGCCATGGATTCTGGGGTGCTGGGCACAGGGACAGAGAGGGATCTGCTGCTGCCAGCAGTGCACACAGCTCGGCACAAGAGAAGCGCTCCCAAATGTCCCCTCGGGCCCCTCGTTTGGACCCCAGGGTGTCCCCAGAGGGTCACACTGAGGTCCCCTCTCCTCCTCCTGCCCAGCTTTGCCCGCCGCCTCCACAAGACCGTGCGGAAGCTGCTGCCCGACTGCGAGATTCGCTTCATCCGCTCCGAGGACGGCAGCGGCAAAGGGGCGGCCATGGTGACCGCCGTGGCCTACAGGCTGGCTGCACAGCACCAGGCCCGCCAGAAGATCCTGGAGCCCCTCAAGCTGAGCCACGAGCAGCTGCTGGAGGTGAAGGAGAGGATGAGGATAGAGATGGAGAAAGGGCTGGGCAAGGAGACGCACGCGGAGGCGACGGTGAAGATGCTGCCCACCTACGTGTGCTCCACTCCTGATGGAACAGGTGATGTGTCCTGTGTAAAGCCCCTGTGTGTGAGCCTGTGCAGGTCCTGCATCCTTGGGAGGGGCTGCATCCTCTGCTGTGGCCAGTTCCTCTTTGTGGTGGGAGTGGCACAAACCTCCAGTTTGGTACTGGGCAGAGCACTGAGCCTCTGGGGCGTTCTGCACCTGATTTAACACAAAGCCTGGCCACAAATCCTGCCACAGCATTCCCTCCTCCCTCATCCTGGGTTGTGCTCTTGGCTCTTCCTGTGGCTTGGGCAAGTGCCTGGCCTTGGCTTGAAGCTGGTGCTGAGGGCCAGGAGCTGGACTTCAGTGATCCCCATGGGTCCCTTCCAAATCAGGTTTATGATTTGAAGCCTCATCATCACCGAGTGTGGAGCAAACCTCTCCATCCTCCTCCTACCTGCAGCCCCTGTTCCTGCCTATCCCCAGTCATGTCTGCATTTCCATCCCTCTCCCTGGAGGAGGGCAGGTCCCTGTCTGCTCCGTGCCCTGCCCTGGATGCCCCGTGCTGGGATCTCTCCTGATGATCCTTCTTGGCTTGCAGAAAAGGGAGATTTCCTGGCCCTGGACCTGGGAGGAACCAACTTCCGTGTGCTGCTGGTGCGCGTCAGGAACGGGATGCGGCGCGGGGTGGAGATGCACAACAAGATCTACTCCATCCCCGTGGAGATCATGCAGGGCACGGGAGAGGAGGTCAGTGTGGGCAAACGGAGAGGGGAAGGGGCCTCTTCCCTGGGCTGGCTGCAGCAGGGCTGACCACGGAGCTGGTTTTGCCTTTGCAGGGAGAAAAACCAGGAGTGGGGAGGGCTGGTGCTCTCCTGGCCTTAGAACAGCCAGCTGTGCCCAAGGCTCTGGAGTTTGGGAAGCTGGAGCCTGGTTTTTAGGTTAGAAATGGTGTTATTCCCAGACATGAGTGAGCCTCCCTGAATCCCACACACTCCACAAGGGCAGATAAGCATCATCCCCATTTCCCAGATAGGAAAACCACAACACAAGCAGTGAGATGTTTGGAAAGTTTTGCAAAGCCCTCCAGGCAGTGCTTGGGGACTGGGAGTATCCCAGCAGACTGGGCTGGAGGGCCCTGGGGATCCCTTGCAGAGGGACTGGGTTCCTGTGTCCCCTCCCTGCTGGCCCCCAGCCCTCCAGGGACCCGTGGGTGGAGATGATGCAGGGATTGGCCGCGCTGTGGGTGGGGAAGAGGGAGAGCTGAGCTTTTTGGGGTTGCTCACCTCCCACGTCCTGCTCTGTTCCAAGTCCTGGGAGCAGTTTGAACACTCCAGCAGGCCTGGGAATGGGTCAGAATCCCCAGAAATTTGGCTTCCAGCTGGGCTCTGGCTGTGGTGGTAACTGCTCTCTTTGGCTTTGCTCGTCCAGCTCTTTGACCACATTGTCCACTGCATCTCGGATTTCCTGGAGTACATGGGGATGAAGGGCGTGTCGCTGCCGCTGGGATTCACCTTCTCCTTCCCTTGCCAGCAGAACAACCTGGACGAGGTAACCCCACCCTCCTGGCAGCTTCCCTGGCTGTGCCTCCCACCTGCTCCTCAGGGGGACTCACTGGGGGCTTTTTCCCCACACCAGGGAATTCTCCTGAAGTGGACAAAAGGTTTCAAGGCGACGGGCTGCGAGGGAGAGGACGTGGTGGGGCTGCTGAAGGAGGCCATTCACAGGAGAGAGGTGAGCAGCCACAGGGCTGGGAGAAGCTGGGCTGCTCCCACATCCTGGCTCTCTTTGGCATCATTAATTGGCCTGTAAAACAAATTACTGGGCTGAGCTCAGCGTAATGAGTGTCGGAATTCTCGCAGCCGCCCTTACTCATCACTTGAGGTTGGATTTTCAGACCCTGGAGCTACGGGCTGGCTCCTGGCCAGGGCTGGAGCAGACTTGTCTGGCCCTGAGCTCAGGAGACACCGGCGCAGTTCCTCAGCACAGACCACCCCGAGCTCCTGCCCAGGGGCTGCTCCTGGCAGGGCTGACCCGGCTGCAGGTGTCTGAGCTCTACCTGCAGGCAGCTGGGGCTGGGGCAAGGCTGTGGTGCCTCTGTGTCCATGGAGGTGGATGGTCATGGAGGACAAGGGAGAAAGGTTTTTAAACTAAAAGAGGAGAGACTTTGGTTGGATGTTAGGGAGGAATTCCTCCCTGTGAGGGTGGCAGGCCCTGGCACAGGGTGCCCAGAGCAGCTGGGGCTGCCCCTGGATCCCTGGCAGTGTTCCAGGCCAGGTTGGACAGGGCTTGGAGCAGCCTGGGACACTGGGAGGTGTCCCTGCCATGGCAGGGGGAGAATGGGATGAGCTTTAAGGACCTTTCCAGACCATTCCACGATTCTGTGACTGCCACACTCACCAGCCAGCCAGGTCCTTTCCCAGCCATGGCAGCAGACTCTGCAGGAATTCCAAACCCTCCAGGAATAACTCCTGCAATCCATCCCTCTGCAGGAATTTGACCTGGACGTGGTGGCAGTGGTCAATGACACTGTTGGCACCATGATGACCTGTGGCTACGAGGATCCCTACTGTGAAGTTGGGCTGATTGTTGGTGAGAACTGAACGTTCCCTGTGCAGCTCCTGCTCCGTGGTGCCCCCCCTGCCCTGCCCTGCCCTGCCCTGCCCTGGGGGGCACTGGAGGTGTCCCAGGTGTCCCCCTGATCCCGCTCCTCTCCGCAGGCACGGGCAGCAACGCCTGCTACATGGAGGAGATGAGGAACGTGGAGCTGGTGGAAGGGGACGAGGGCAGGATGTGTGTGAACATGGAGTGGGGGGCCTTTGGGGACAGCGGCTGCCTGGATGACATCCGGACGGAGTTCGACGTGGCCGTGGATGAGCTGTCCCTCAACCCTGGCAAGCAGAGGTGGGTGGTGGCTCTGGGGGGCTGGAAGGGGCCCAGTGGGGCTGAGGGCTGAGCAGTTCTGCCCCAGCAGCTCCTTGGTGGATCCAGGGCATGATGAGCAGGACACTGAGGTGTCCCTTGTCCCCTGCCCGGGGTGGGGGCCGTGCTGCTGAGGGGATTGTACAGAGGGCAGAGCTGGAATCCCCAGCCAGCCCCGGTGTCCCTTCCTGTGCTGATGCCCAGCCTCATCCTCTCCTGCCCAGGTATGAGAAGATGATCAGTGGGATGTACCTGGGGGAAATCGTCCGCAACATCCTGATGGACTTCACCAAGAAAGGGCTGCTCTTCCGGGGACGGATCTCGGAGAGGCTGAAGACCAGAGGGATCTTTGAGACCAAGTTCCTGTCCCAGATAGAGAGGTGAGCGAGCACCAGCTGCCAGTCAGTCAGAGCAGGGATGGGATGTGGGGGACGTGCCCCCGTGCTTGGTGTGGAGCCAGGGCAATACAGGATGGTGCCCCACAGATAAATCAGCAGAGCCCACGTGGTTGGTTGTGTGCAGAGACAAGGAGAGGCTGCCTGGGGCTGGCAGCACAGATAACTCTTTATCCACTGCCCTGGGCAGGGTTGCAGGGGTGTCACACTCTGCTGGCTCTGTCCTGAAACAGCCTCCCCAATCAGGATGTGACACCAGGCCACGTCCAGGTCTGAAAGCTGAGGTTTTGGGGGGCTGTAGGGCCACCCCCGGCACTGCTGGGCAGGGTGAGGATGAGGATGAGGAAGGGGAGGCTGCACGTCCCAGCCGCTCCCTCCTGACGCTGCCCCCACCCCGTGTCCCCGCAGCGACTGCCTGGCCCTGCTGCAGGTGCGCTCCATCCTGCAGCACCTGGGCCTGGAGTCCACGTGCGACGACAGCATCATCGTCAAGGAGGTGTGCACGGTGGTGGCGCGGCGCGCGGCCCAGCTCTGCGGCGCCGGCATGGCCGCCGTGGTGGACAAGATCCGCGAGAACCGCGGCCTGGACTTCCTCAAGGTCACCGTGGGCGTGGACGGGACGCTCTACAAGCTGCACCCTCAGTGAGTGCCTGGCTGTGCTCCCCGGGCAGGTGGAGGCTTGGTTCAGGGGGTAATGGGGGAGGATTGAGGTGTTCTGGGGGCCTGAGGGATGCCAGGAGCTCAGCTGCTCCCTTAGGGACAGGGGCTCCTCCAGTGCCACTGGGCCTGACCCAGACATGGTGACCAGGCTCAGCCAGGGCTCCGGGTCATGGGGATGGGTCATGGAGGTTCATGGCCACACAAATGGCCCATGCCAGAGCTGGCCAGCTGGTGCTGCTGGGCACTGGAGCTCAGACAGGGACTAAGGCACTGAGCTGAGCCTAAATAGGGCTCAGGAGCCCATGGGCCAAGGGAGGCACTGAAAACTCTCCCCAGGTGGGGCTGGTCAGGACTGTTGAGGCTCAGTAGTGCTCCCAGGGCTTGGTGGGCCTTGAGATGGGGCTGGGTTTAGTCCTGAGTGAAGGCACAGCACGGTCGTGTTGTAACCATGGGCCTGGGCTGAAGTGTGGACACTTGGGCTTTCTAAGCTTCATCCCTGACCATCCATCCATCCATCCATCCATCCATCCATCCATCCATCCATCCATCCATCCATCCATCCATCCATCCATCCACCTGTCCCTCCCCTCGGGGTCTGCGTTGCTCTTCGAGGCTCTCTGAAGGCACATTAGGGGTTGGGACTGACCCCTTCACCCTGTGGCTGGTCAGCTCAGAGCCTCTCCCTCTCCTTGCCCCGCAGCTTCTCCACGGTGCTGCAGGAGACAGTGAAGGAGCTGTCCCCCAAGTGTGAAGTGACCTTCCTGCAGTCGGAGGACGGCAGCGGCAAAGGCGCCGCGCTGATCACGGCCGTGGCCTGCCGCATCCGCGAGGCCGGCCAGCGGTAGAGGGAAGCAGGTTTGCCCCAGAGCTTGGTTTCAGCAGAACAGGACGTTTCCTCACCCAGCCCCTCCCTCCTCCCTCTGCACACACTCACACTCCCCCTCCCCTCCAAGCAGACTCGTAGCTTTACTCGTTCTCCGGGGCGCCACGGCGGGACTGGAGACGCCGCCGTGGGCTCTGTACCAAGTGTTGTCGTAGGAGTTTCCTTGCATGCCATAAAACCAGCTGTCGAGTAAAGCTCACAGTGTCCTTTGGCTTCTCCCTGCATTCCCAGGTGGAGCTGGAGCTGTCCCACCTCCGTCACACCCCAGCTCTCCTCCCGCCACTGGCCCTCCCCTAGCAGCAGTAGGGATAACACTCGGATAATTCAGACACTGCATTGTCACTTTAACAGAACCTATTTATGTGTGTCGGAGCCGTAGCTGTCCGTGCTGTAGAAGCAAACCTCTAAGATTGGGCTAAAGACCTCCACTCGTCTTTTACCCTGATCAAGGCTGTATTATTTCCATGAAAGTCATGGTAACTCTTAAAGCACAGGGTGCAGAGTTCCACGGGCGTGGCTGTGGCTGCACTGGAGGTACCGCGTGCCTCCCTTGGTGAGCGGCCCCAGAGGAGCTGCAGGGCCCCTCAGCCACCCCAGCAGAGCACGTGCCTGGAAATAATTGGGGACTCAGGGTCTGATCCCATTTCCTGACCTCTCCCCTGCAATAGTGTGTAGGAATGTGGCGTGTGTAGGGTCGTGTTCCCCCCGGGCACCTCCAGGAGCCACGGGTCAGTTCTGCCCTGCCAAGCCCCACACCCGTGGCCGTGTCTGCCCTTGGCGTGCAGAGTCTGGTTTGCTTTGTGTCTGTGAAATAGTTCTGCGGCTGCAGCCTTTAGGTGGCACCTGATTTATACACTGTATATTTATGTTTTAAGAGATCTGATGTCTTTTTATGTACATAGTCTTGGGGGGGTTGTATCACTTAGTTTTAATGTCACCTTTTCATGTTGTTGAAGAAGAGTACAGAGTAATTATTTTCTTTTTTTTTTTTTCTTCTGTCATGTAATTTTTTTTTTTAATTTAAAATTTTCTTGGGGTAGACTGGAGAAAGAGACCCAAATACCTGAGGAACTGTTGTACAAGAGGTTTGGGCATTCTGACTTTATCACCAGGACAAAAGGGAAAGCAGCAGGAAGCCAGGGCGTGCAGGGGCCCTGCGGTGATGCTGGTGGCTTCAGGCTGGGTTTAACCTCAGCAGAGGTTTTGTTTTGTCCCCTGCCCTCCCCAGCTGTGCTCTGGAAGGTCACATCCATGGGGGTGTGACACAGCCAGGGCCCTGCAGGTCCCCCTGTGCCCGCAGCATCACCTGTGTGCCATGGCCCAGTGCAGGGATCCGTTTTTGCCAACAGGAAACTCTGGATGAACTAAAAGCTGCAGTGAGAGGAGGCAGACAGAGGGTGGGGGGGATTTTCTGTAAATATTTAGCAGAAGTTAATGAAATTTCAGTGATGTACAAAAAAAAAATATATAACTAATAAACCCCACAAACAGCCCTTCAGATTGGAGGATAGAGTTTTGTCTATTTTTATGTATATTTTTATACTGCTTGGGGTAACCTCATTACCAAAAGTCTCTCTTCTGTGTTGGGGGTAAAGTTCAGTAGCACAATTTTAAAGGAAAATTACTCTTTTGGGCATTTTAAATGCTTATTTTTTTATAAGCCTCAAGACAATTATAACAAATAAAACCTGTGTATAGAAATGATGTAAGAAACCAAGTTTAGTGGAAGTTTTAGAAGCTGTCAAATAAATCTTTGAAGGATGATACAGAAATCCTCTAATCTGGTACCAAGCAGTTTTGTGTGATTTTTTTTTTCCTCAGAAAACCAGCATTTTGCCTACTGAAAAATCAAACCAGAAATCTTTTTAGCTGCTGCACTGTGCAGAGTTGCATTAGTGGCTGTTTTTACTCTTAGCCAGCTGTGCCCCTGCTGAAATCCATAGTGTTTTCATCTGTTAGTGAGTGCAATTGTACAGTTTTGGGGGCAGAATGGAAAGGGTGGGGACCTGAGCAGCCTGGCCTGGAGCAGGGGCAGCACAGTCCCCTCACCTGCCTGGGCTGAAGGAGGGGCTGCAGCTCACAGGGGTGAGGAGGAGGAGGAGGATCACCCTTGTGGGTGCTGGATTTTCGGCTGGGCTTGGTCAGAGGAACTCCCCCTGGCTCCCCAGGGCTCCCCCAAGGCTGGGAAGCTTCTGCTTAGGCTCAGAATCAGGCAGGCTCTGCAATGCTCCTGGTTCAAAGCGTTGCAGGACAGCTGTGGGTGCAGGCCCACCCTCCCTGGGGCTGCAGGGGGGTCTGGGGAGCCCCTGGAGGGGTCTGGGGAGCCCCTGAAGGGTTTGGGGAGCCCCTGGAGGGTTTGGGATCCCCTGGAAGGGTTTGGGATCCCCAGGGGGACCAGCCCTGCAGGGGTTGGATGCCCAGCCCAGCTGGAAGCAGAACCTCACGCCAAAAACGTCGCCATGGGATGTTCTGTGAATGTGTTTAAAATGAAGAAGGGAAGATTAAATCCTAATTACTGATATGAAGGGAAGATCAAATGATTATCTGTGGGGACAGACAGACAGACTGCTCAGCCTGATTTGTCTTCCCTGCAGCAAGAAGTGCTGCTTTGTGGGTTTAGGATGTTTTGTTTTGCTTGGTTGTTCCCATCTGGATGCATTTTCTTTGCTTTCCGGGGTGCTGGAACGTTCCCTGGCCACGCAGGCAGCAGGGAGCAGAGTCTCTGCCCTTCCCTCCCTGGCCCATCTCCCCTCCTTGGTACTTTGGACAGGATTTTATTGGGCTTCTAAAATATGTGTACATCTATATAAACACAATCAGCAAATTACTGAGACTTGTAAGCAGAATTTGCTGTTTCCTTCCTGGAGCCCAGGCTGGGAGGGAGAAGCTCCGTGGCCCGAGGGTATCAGAGGGGCACAGATCCTGGCCTGGCAGCAGCTCAGGTGCAGTTTGACCCGAGATAACTCAGTGCCTCCTCTCCTCCCTTATCAGGCAATCCAAACCCATCTGGCTGTCACAGAGATAAGGGGGTGAAAGGTCCAAGTGCACAGCAGGGGAGAGGTGCAGAACGGTGCCAAGTGCACTGTGCGGGGGCTGTGGGTACAAGATTACAACAAAATAACCTGGAATTTGGGGAGCCCTCAGCCCAGTCCCCTCCAGACAAGGAAAATGCCTGCTTTGTCATAAAAATGGCAAAAAGAGGCAATTCCTGTCTCAAGGTAAATTGGAGAGAGGAGAATTCTTTCTCTTGTGACATCCCTGACCAGCCTGAAATCTTCCTGGCCTGAAGCAAAGAAAATGCACCTGGATGTGGGCCTGGCTCCGTGCGGGCAGGGGAGTCCTAAAGCCAAAGACTGTGTGGCTGCTGGCAGAAACGAGTGCTGTAGATTCACCTGATGTTGTTCTCTCGTGTTTACAATATTTATTTTAGCAATTGACTGCAATGATATTATATATAGGCTTCCTTATTTTTGTACTTTTCATACCTGAGTGTGGTGTTGTACTGCTCAGCTCCCCTCGGCCACCACTGCTGCTCCTCAGTGACAATAAAGCAGAGAAAAACAACCACCACCCACTGCTGGGCTCAGTGTCGTGTGTCTGGGCCCCTGAGCTGCCCTGTGCCCCCCAGCCCACCCCAAATCCCTGCTGCTGGCCCCTGGCAGTGCCCCATGGCCAGGAGGGCACAGGGACAGCCAGGACAGCCAGGGATCAAGGGAAGGGGCTGCTGCCTGGCAAGCAAATACCAAGATGAGGTTCCTGCTCCACATCCTGGTGACACTGGGGGGGACCCAGCTGGGGGGAGCCCTGGGGTTCAGAGGGCAGAGCAGGATCAGGCCCTGGCAGGGGTGCACAGCCCTGCCCAGCTCAGGCTTTGCTGTGCTGCACAAAACCACCTGGCTTTGAGGTACCTGCTCCCTCTGCCACTAACAGCTGCCCCTGCTGCTTTCCATGGAATCAATCTGAGGAGTGTGTACTTCTAATTAAAACCAGAGTTAAGTACCTAAATACAGTTAATTCTATAAATAATTCCATGCTGCAGCAGCTGAACAGCTGAAAATGCTTCTGCTCTCTGCTGCCAAAGCTGTGACACAACCCAAGATCACAGTGAGGTGCTGAATCCACAGGGTGAATCCAGCACAAAAAGCTATTCCCAGCAGGAAAGGACACATATGGACAAATATTCCACTTGAAATCATTTACTGACACGTTGCCATGTTTTTCTATCTTGCTCAGCATATTTTTACCCTTGTTATAAAGTACAAATGGTTTTATATTTTTCTGACATTAAAAAAATAGGCTAACGAGGCAAAAATTCCCAGTTTGAATCAAAAAATCCTGCTCTAAGAATTGAGAATTGTAAGAGACAAACATAAAACCCAACAAAGACTGAACAGAGTGTACCATGACACGACTCATCCATCACACCAAGTGGAGAGGAATCTCTTGTTCCCAGCTCTGCCTTTGGATCCTGTGACCTTGCTGAACTGATGTGAAATTGGTGTTACACATACAACTCAAAAGGCACTCGAAAGTCACAAGTTCCTGAGCTAACATGGGATGTATTCCCAAGGTAACAGCTAAAACAAGCCACAGAAAATGTTTAAAAACTGGTATTTGGTTTGTGTGAGTAGAGTCAGCACTCAGCAGACTCCAGCTGAGAGCTGCTGCTGCTGCTGACAGGACTCAAGTAATGGTGAGGACATTGGAGTATTTGCTGTACATGGAAAAGAAATTCATTTATGAACATTCCTATTAGTAAATTAACCTGCTAAAAGACAGAGAACTATTGGCTGCAGTGTTAGAACAACACTAAGAATGAAATGTGTGTGTGTGAGCTGCAAAAAAAGGCTTAAACCCACCAGGTGGGAAAGGCTGTGCAGTTAAATAACCAAAGTTGAGATGCCACATTTACAGAGATTATTTGGCCCTAAGAGAAAAGGACCAGGAAAAAAAGCAAAATATGGATCTGGTATTTACAGATCAGTTATTTAAAAACCCAACAAATAATACAACCAAAACCAACACTAACAAAACCCACACAAGCTACAACGTGTGCTCAGAGTCCAACAGATAATTTCCTAAGTTGTCATCCACACAAATTCCCTATTTCCAATTTGGCTCAGTTTTCACCCAGAAAAGCCCAAGTGTGACAACGCTTCTCAAATGTGGAATGGCTCCTGCCTGACGATGCAGAACAGAAATAAAATTTAAAAAAATTAAAAAGGATGACTGGTTTTGGCCTACCTAATGTCAGAGCTGCATAGGAGAGCACTAAGGCCAGGGCTGCTGGCACAGTGTAAGGCCTGGAGCAGCAGCCAGGGTGGAGGGGCTGCCCCAGGCCCCAGGGAGGTCTCAGGGTTCCAGATGATCCAGCTGGGCCTCGCTGTCTGCCCTCTTCTCTGGGGATGTGTACAGGAAGTTGCAGCAGATGTACAGGGGGAAGGTCAGGAGTCTGCTGTCCAAATTCATCACGATCTGCTCCTGGAGCACACACAGGATATTTGTGTGGGGAGGGGGAGCAGAAAGCACAATGCTAACACAGCACCCACTCTGCACAGCTTCAGGGCTACAGACTGAAATCAGAATATAAACACAGAGCCAAGACAGCTCCCCTTCAGCTCAAGTTTATAAGACTGACACATTCTCAGCCTGCCCACAGCTCCCATCCCTGTGCAGCACAGGAACAGCCACAGGGGAATGCTGGAGCAAACTTCCCCTCCAGCATGCTGGGGAGAAAGGGACAGTTTTCAGATTTGGGAGATTCCACCAACCAGGTATTCCACAACTGAAAGCAAACTTCAGTTTGTGGGTAGGAATTTTTTTGGTTCCACTCTAGGAACGGGTTTTAGGGAAGCAAAATTGAAACTTCAACCTCGTGAGGATGCAAAACAACTGAAACTTCAAAACTGAAACTTCACCCTCCAGTGAGGATGGCACTGACAAGAAAAGGTTTTCTGTGTTCTCATCACCTTTGTATCACTGCTGGCTGGGATTTGAGAAACTTGATTAACAAGTCCCACACACGCATCACTAAATCCTGCAATGGGTGGAAAAGGGCACTTGCTCTAAGAAAACTCCATTCCTCTCTGGGGCTTTCTTCAGTTTATTTAATAGAGTAATAAATTCAACCCTTAAACAACATGCAGACATTCTTTTAACTCCTCAGTTTATGAGAGTCTTCACATTCTGAATTTGCCTCTAAATGAGCAGTCTGATGGCCAGATTATGCAGAGGGTGATGCCAGCAGTGCTGAAGAGCAGCTGAACATGACACTGGCAGCAGACAGCAGCACCACAGGCACTCATTTCACTAATATGGGAACTAATTTCATATTATCAACACTCATGAAACCCACATTACCTTACTCTAGATCCACTTCACAAATTAGCTTAATTACCCACTACTTCTAACAGGAATGCCTGGGATTCCACATAAGCAATGCCAACAGGAACAGCAACTCCCCTTCAAAAGCACCGGTGACCTCTCAGCATTTTTGTCATGCCTTGAACTGCAGCACTCAAGCCCACAGACACACCTGGTCCTTCTCCAGGGTGAGGATCTGGTACCCCGTTGTCCTGCTGCAGATCATCTTCCCGCTGCAGTCGAACGAGGCCAGGCGCAACCTGGGGGCACAAGAGCGAGGCCACTTCAGCCTCCCCAGTTTCAGCGCCTCCCTGGAGGAGGAGGCAGGGTGGGAACATGCTGTGACAGAACCAGCAGGGCTGGTGGCAGGGAGGGAGCTGGGCCAGGCCCACCTGAAGGCGATGCTGCGGCGGGGCTGCAGGCTGACGGAGCCGCTGCACGGCTGGTTCAGCGTGTTGCGCTTGAAGATGATGTAGCGGTTGGTGTAGGTCACCAGCAGGTCCAGGCCGAAGTTAAAGCCGGTCCAGCGCCAGCAGTACTGCAGGACAGGGACACACACACACAGGGGGACACACACACACACACAGGGGGACACACAGAGCCTGAGGATGGGCTGTGACACGCAGCACAGGGCCCACGCCAGCTCCACAGGAGGGGCCACTCCGGAGCTGCACCGGGGCGCTCAGGGACCCCTGCCAGCACCTCCTGGGACACAGAACTCGGTGGGGACAACTGGGCACGGCAGGGGACTGTGTGTGTGACAGCAGCTGAGGGTCAGCTGCCTCCCAGACAGGCAGGACACATGTCACAGCAGTGGGTATCAAATACCAGCACTGGGTAATGGGGCTGATCTGTGAGCCACAGCCATGCCCGGAGCACACCTTGGGTTATGTGACCTCAATGGGAAAAGTGAATGTTCCCAGTTCATTTCACAAGACCTGTTACCTAAAGTCACCAAGGGGCCCTAGCTCTGAATGTTACACATTTTATCTAGAGAACTTCCTTCTCCAGCTGATAAGTGATCAGAGCTCCATTTAACTGCCTGGACTAACAGTTTTCCCAGTCTCACAGCACAAGAGCACAATGAAACTCCAGTTCCTTGCTCCTTGCTGAGACAGGACTTCCATCTCTCTGGGGAGAAAAAAAATGGTGTCTTTCTCCATGACATCCTTTGATACAGTTTGCCAATGAGGATTTACATGATTTGGAAATGCCTGACTTGTCTCAGCCATGCCAGCCCTGCAGTTTGCCACGTGCCACACTTACATCACCATCCTTGGCCAGTTTGCGACCACACCTCATGCTGTTGCCTTCCAGTTCCTCCTTATTGATTTCTTGAGGCCTGAAAAAAACCCAAACCAGCATCTTTAAGGACACTTCAACAGCTTTGTATGATACCCTAATGTGGGGAAGATGAACAGACTGGAATAAACTTGTCTGACCACACAGTGATGGAATACCCTGAGGTGGAAGGGACTCACAACTGACCCTTTGAGCAGAGGCATGACTTGATGAGCTCTCAGAGCCTCTTCCATCCCAAACTGTCCCATAAACTACAAAACTGCAATATATACCAGGCTGTGACACCTCAGTTAGGCAGGACTTCTACAAAAAAACTTCTCCAGATAAAATGATAGCTTTTGCAATGCAATACATTCTCGCAGCCTTGTAAAAACCCAAGTGTTTTTTAAACACAGCAGGCTGACTTCTCAGACACAACCAGAGACAAGTGCTGGGGCACAGCTGCAGGGCTCTGCACAAGAGCAGTGCTATGAAGCAGCAGCCACGAGACACTGGGAGAGGTTTCTCAAGGGGCTGGTTATGCAACTTGACTAAAAAAAACCACTTCCCCCCAGTGCTCATAAAACAACCCACTTCCCCTCAGTGCTCAAGAAATGAGAGCTCCTGGGACGCAGAGCCCTTGGCTGTGTCATCCCACAGCAAGAGCAGCTCCTCTCACCCAACACTTGCCCCGTGTCCAGCACGTAGAACAGCCTTGCAGAGCCAGCACGAGTGAGATCAGCCCTGATTTTCCACACTTGTGTTACTCACTTTGCTCCACTCACCATGACAGCATTAACCCAACACCCACTGCCAGAAAGCGTCCAAGTTGCACCAGGCTGAGGGCTGGCCGTGAACTTTATTAATCCCAGTGACATCAATCCCACAGCCTCAACTGCAAAGCCACAAGACCCAGCAGGGCCCTC